ATAATACATCAAACCATCTAAACAAAGTTGGATATTGAGCACTTAAACTAACATCTATAATTCGACTTGTGGTGTTGATAAATGTCACACTTTCTTATGACTTAACGTAGTTCTTCTTTCATTTTCTTCCACTAAAAATTTATCTTTAGTTTGTAAAGTGTTCTATGATACCCTTAATGATCGTTCTCATGTATTTCTTATGGTAAAATCAAAATCAATGAAGACTCTTGTGGTAGGTAAAGTCTATCCTCAAAGAAAATGATCCCATGTTTTATTTAACAAGGACCAACTGCCTCTCCTTTCTAAACTAACTCATGTAACCATTATAATTCTCGGTGAACCCTATTTTTTGTGATAATTAGTTCAAGTCACTAAGGTATGAGTGTAAAAATAAGCACCTCTTGGATAGAGCATCAGCAGCAGTATTGCAATGTCCTTGTTTGTATTTGATGCAATAATCATACCCCAGTAACTTAATAAGAAACTTTTGTTGTGCCTTTATGACGATCCTCTATTCTAGAAAATATTTGAGACTCTTCTAGTCATTTCTCATCGTGAAGTATCCCTTCAACGGATATGAGATCCGCTTTTGAACCGCAAGGAATAAAGCCATCATTTGTTTCTTATAAATAGAGAGAGACAAGTTCTTACCTTGGAGAATGGTACCGAAATAGGCTATAGGTCATTGATTTTGCACGAATACCGCTTTGATTTTTTATCCCAATGCATCACACTCTACCATAAATGATAGAAAAAAATTAGGATGGGCTAAAACTAATGCTTTAGTCATGGCTTTCTTGAGCCTTTGGAAGGTATCATTTGCTTATAGGAATTCATAGTGACCATAACGAGTGTAAAAAGGAGTATTGGTAATGTTGTATGGATGCATCCGTATTTTATGGTACATTAAATGTAAGTTTAGTTTAATGAACCATTTTGCCCCTTCAGCTCATCTAGTAGCTCCTCAATCACTAGTATGGGAAACTTATCCTTGATAGTAATATGATTTAAGGCTTGATAATCTACACAAAATCACCATGAGCCATCACTCTTTTTACCAATAATGCTCGTAAAGAAAAAAGGACTTTGACTTGAGCTAATAAGCCCTTAGGTGAGGTAATTTAGTTGAAGGTATGGAAATGGCTAAACATTCGTAAAGCCGACTACATTCTCTTAATAGAATTCGCGATCATGTTTTGACCTTATAGAGGTAATTTAGTTGCCCCGTAAAAAACCTTCAAAAATTCTTTTTGTATAGTCCGCCATTCATCGGACTCATTATCATTCGATGAGGGGATTAGGGATATTTGTAGTAGGGTGCCTCATCTATATGCTTCTCTTAAGGCATATTGCATAGCCTCGGTCCTTACCAATTATGCAGTAGGGGTTTTAAGACCCCTTAAAGTCACATCCCCTGAGCTCGTAGTGAATTTCATCTTCATACTTTAGAAATTCCACAAGTATTGGTCCTAATGTCTAAAGCCATCGAGCTCCTAAGACCGCATCATAATCCTCCAAAGGCAATAATAAAAAATCAACTTTGAATATAGACTCAATAAGCACCAAGGGTAACTACCGACAAAGACCTACACTATCGAGTTTCTCTCCACCGGCAATCATCACTTTCAAAGGAGGCCATCGTTCAATTTGAAGTCTAACAAGTTTAGCCATCCTTTTCTATAGGAAATTATGGGTAGACCCTGAGTCAATGAGTATTGTGATAGGGTGACCCACGATTCTAGCATATATCCTCATGATCCGAGGTGTAAGAATGTCGGTGAGGGCATGAATAGAGATTTTTAATACCTCTATTCTTTGGTAGGGATGTCTTTAAGGAACCTATCTAGTGGAATCTCGAGTCCTTGCTCCAACTCAATAAAGAAATGCTTATTGTAAGCATAACCCACCATATAAACATTATCGCAATGGAAGCACAACCCCTACCTTCGCTATTTTTATAGCTTCAATGAGGTGAATCTTTGAATTGGAGCGAGAGGATAAGAGAGAAGAGGATTAATTAATGTAACCCTCGTGAAAATCCTTAACCGTAAAACGATGCGTATTAGAATATATATATATATATATATATATATATATATATATATATATATATATATATATATATACACATTTATTAAGTGTAAGTATAATTCTCATTACACCATGAGAAATTAATGCTTGAAATGTGTGATTTATGTTCAATTAAAGTTATTGTACTTAAGATTAATGGTTTAATTATTAAAGAAATCAAATATGAAAAATTAGTGTTTTGAGGATTATATTTTGTCCAATTTTTGTGTGATTTATTTCAGGAATTTAGATTGATTTTTGGGTAAAACTTAACAAATAAAAGCTGTTCTTCTATGTGTCTACTAGCTCTCTATAAAATTACATGGGTTTTAGATCTATACATGAAGCATTGTGGCCATTTTAGTATAGGCTGGTCTTGAAGCATCACTACCGAAATGTTTTTGGGGAAGAAAATTTCGAGTTTAGGGAGAGGGATTTCTAAAATTTACTCGGAAAGAAATATGTTTAGTTACTTGAACTAGATTGGTTAGGGTGTTTAGTTACTCTAACGAATTAATTAGGACACTTAAACCTCCCTAATTAATGAATTAAAGCTAGCTCACCCTAAACCTCTCAAACCCGTCACCCTCTCTCTCATGACTCACTAATAGCTTTTCACTCTCCCAAATAAAATTAGAACATTTGTACACTTAATTGATGCTGAGATTTTAAGCATGTATATATATAGAATAAGTGAGAATGGAAGAAAAATTTTAGGCAGCCCATAGCTACACAAACAAGAGAGAAAAAAGGCAAGGAAAGGAAAAGAAGGAAAGAAAAATGGAAAAGCTAAGGAAAAGTCCTAACTAAATCTATCTAAGTAAGTGGGTTACCTTTTTCTTGTTTATACTATTTATTTATTTATTTAATCTTTATGCAATTGACTAAACTTGTGTTTAGGTGGTGATATATTGTTGTGATTGGTTGTGTTGATTGATTTACCTTGCAATTCTTATTGGTATGATTGGTTGTATTGATTGATTGTGTTGGTTGCTTTCCAAAACTTAGAAAGCCTTGTATATGATTAAATTCATGTTTGGGGGGATGTGAATGATGAAATTGGGTTGACCAAAACATGGTGGGTGAATTTGGGACTTGTATAGACTTGAATAAAATAAAGAAAGAAGGAAAGAAAAATGAAAATTTAGGATTTTTTGTGAGTAAACTTTCGGCCCAGAGAGTTACACGACCTCCCACACAGTGTTTCCTTACTCGTGTAATGAAGAAATGTTTTTTTTAAGTCGGAGCGTTACACGACCTCCCATACGGGTGTGTCCTTGCCCGTATAATGAAAAGTTATATTTTTCTTTAAGTCGAGAGTTACACGGGCGTGTCTTTGACCGTGTAATGAAAAAATATATTTTTCTTGAAGTCGAGAGTTACGCGACCTCCCACACGGACGTGTCCTTGCTCGTGTAATAAAGAAAAATGTTTTTTTAGTCGGACGATTACACGGCCTTTCACACGAAAGTGTCTTTGCTCGTGTAATTCACTCGGTCACTCGAAATTCATCATTTTTACTTCATTCTTGCTTGGTTTCCATTCCTTTTATGAAAATAACGTAATTAATGGTCAACAAAGCTCAAATAGATATAAAATAAAAATATTTCATGATGATAAGAGGTATGAGTATGCCCGAAACCCCGTGTGGGCTGGACCTATGAAAATATATGAAGTCAAATCCCGTATGGGTTGGATATGTTTAATATGGTACACATAACATCACGTGCATCATGTGCATTGTGGGACATGTGGATAAAAGTCAATTGATTGATAATTGATTTACATGATTAGGTTTGGTAACCTAACGAGAATAAATGGGTATTAGCGAGTCTAACCGTATTCGTACTCTAAGTTGTGTGCTCGCACCGTTAGACGATGGACTCCCGCTAACGATGGCTACAATAAGGGATAATTCCATTGTAGCAGAAGGTGATTCGATAATCACTTGGATTAAAAATAGAGTAAACTTGTTAATACCCGCAGTATCCGAAATTAAAATTTGATGAGTATAGTGGAAAGTCGAAAAGCATTACATATCACGTGCATCACCCCACTTACCGAGCTTCGACTCACCCCATTGTTATTTGCATATTATGACAATATCGATGACTATAATACCGATAAGAACGTTGTTGGATCCTTCAAAAGGGCTCGGGGGTGACACAAACCTTAGGAGATTTTATTTTGATTGTAATTCGGTGTTAGGGTGTCCGTAGATATTTGAATAGCATTGTAAACAAATTGTAACTTCTTTCGCTGTGAATATTCTTGTAATGTAATTTTATATTATACATATTTCAATATGTAGTATGTTGTTACGGTACCGGCATGGACGTAGTAAGATTTAAGTCGGGTTAGATGTGTCGGTGTGACGCGCTCCTTGCCTAGTCACTCCTTTTGGGTAATTGGCAAGTGGGCCATGGAGGGGCGTTACAATTAATGAATCCTCTAGCTAGACTCCACAATGGGCTTTCCTTACGAGGTACTTCAATAGGGCTTGTATTAGTGGGCCTTGGTTCAATGAGCCATCCGAATGAGGGCCTAGGCATGTCTCTTGGAATCCGATAGCCTTGTTCTCAAAGATTTTGGCTAACCTAATGGCCTTATTTAGAGTATAGTGGCATTGGGCTTGTGCATCACCCTTAAACTCGCTCATTTAGGCCACTCATAAAGACCCCCACTTCTTGATCATCAATCGGTGTTCCGACCTTTACTAGCAACTTGTCAAACTAATTTTGATATATATGAATAGTATTAGTTTGTTTTAGTTTACATAAATCATAAAATGAGTTTTCATAAGTGAACATACCGAGATGTTTTACCAGCCCCTCCTTTAATTCACGCTGTGTGAGCCTAGGATGCAAATTTTTTTAACGTTGGGTCCAAAGTTAGGCATCCTCTTCGAGATGGTATATCGATAAGCATACCTATTCTTCCGGAGTAGTATTTTGGTAGTCGAAAATTTGCTCCACCCGACTAATCAAAAGTGTGAGATCTTCATTCTCGTTATAATATAGAAAGTTTAACTTGACTAATTTGGGAGCAACATTCCCATTGGCCCCAAAGTCGTTAACAACCCTTTGTACCGGACCCGACTTGTTGATGGAGGATTCATCGTTGGCTTGAAATGCTTGAAACATTTCGTCATCTACCCGCCGAAACTCTCAAACCGATGCTTAAGTAGAACGAAACACTAGTAGTTGGTCTAGTTGTCCATGCCACGCTCCGATATCAATATGTTTAGCCCCGATTGTATTTTACGATCTCGACCATACGTCATTTGCCTTCCATGAGCTATTTTGAAAAGAAATAGTAGAATAAGGGATATTTAATTGCAAAAACAATTAATATAGTGTTTGATATTAATTGTCTACTTTACTCATCACCATGTCTGTCTTTAAATAGACTTTTTACAAAAGAGAAAGGAAATAAACTGGAAACGAATAACAACTTAGGGACCTATTCAAAAGCAACTAACTAAGAAACAACTCCTGCAAGCCACCTAATGAGGAGTCCATTATTAACTATAGTAGATTAAGTCCAAGAGTTACACGTTAGCTTGACTAAATGTAACATCATCACTAAAAGTTATAAGTAGAGTGATAAAAAAATATCTTTACCTCATTTAATTAGAGATTAAAGATGAAAAAAAGACACTAGTCTTACTAGTTAACTTAGATACATTAAACACCAAGGTGAATAGGAAAAAAAAAAGCTAGCAAAACCAATAAATAAATACAAGTAGCCATTTCAAAGATTAAAAAAAATCAAATCAAATTTAATGGTTGTTTTAAATCAATTTCGTATACATAATTTTCATTTTAATCATTAATATATTCACCGGTCAACAAATCATTTTTTTGTGTTTAGCAAGCAATTAACGAAAGTGGAACATTCATGACCTCGCTGCTCTTTTTATTAGAAGAATACTATCCCCGTACAACGTCATGGACGCTCTTAAGGACACATTCTTGCTTAAAGAGAGAGGTTTTTAAGTTTAAACCATGATCAATGAAAATTTTTCAAGAAATTATTGCACGTTAATGAAAGAGTAATTTCATTATTATGACGATGAAGAGTATAGTATAAGGATATGTGGTTTTTTAAAAAAAAAACATAACAAAGTTGTGGAAAAACACACAAATCTATTAGTTTCTGAATATTCGATAATAATGGTTAAATATTTACAAACAATATAAATAGTCTGCTTTAACTGACAAAAAAAACTAAATTAAAAATAAAATTTAAAAAATCAAAATTAATTATAGAAGTACAAAAATTAAGAAAAAAATAAATCAAAAGGGTTTTAATTCCTAAATTGGAACAATCTAAACCGTTTCGGGAGATCTAAAAAAAAAACAAAAATGAAAATAGGCATTCGGATCAATCAGGGTTCATGTCTCTAAATTAGCTTTTCAAGAGGATATGATTTGCATCAACTGGACATCCAGATAAAAAATTATGCATGACATGTTAATGGAATATTGCGTTTTTTTTTTCTTTCTAATTAATTGTCTTCTTAGACTTCTACATGTCAATCTAATCCATAAACTTATAAGTTAGACGCCACACATTCACATGGTCCCTCGAATTTTGATGACTGATCAATCAACTAGCATATTTAATTTCAGATGGAAAATTCTAATCCCATAGTGACACGTAGTCCCTTAAAAAAAACTCATTTTCATTATAAGCCCATCAACTGTACACATCTAAGTGAATGAAGCGACCACACATCTTTATAAATTCAAACCGTTAAATTTCCTAATTATCAATATCAAACCAATGATCGATCAATTTTTTATTTTGCAATAATCAATATCGTTTCTCCTATGATTCTAAAAAATTCGACCAGTAGTTGATTTTTGGATTTATATATATGAAATGAAAAGAATTATAGGTATATTTTTTTAAAAGAAAGGAGGAAGATAGATGCCACTTTTAATGTGCTATATTTAATTCATGCATGGGCGGCTTACTTGAAAAGAAATCGAGGCAATTAGAAAACTTATATGCATGAAATTGATAAAGTTTAAAATTTTGTTCGTACGTGGAAGGTGTGACTTCAAGGAAGAGAAAATTTTATCCTGCATGATTGAGTTTTTTATTCTATTTCTGCTACAAGAATTATATATGTTTTGTTACCAAATCAATGCTTCAAATGTACGTAGTGCTACTCCTCACCAAACCAACTTTAATTATGCTCTTAATTACATGTTGTTTTAATTCTTAATTGTAGCTTCTTCTTCGTCTTTTATTTATTTATATTGAGATCGATACTTGCTTTTTTCACTTGATATAAATGATAAATAAGGAAAACTTTTATAAGATTGAAGTCGTCCAAATCGGTGGGCAGTTTTTTATTAATATTTCTTTGAAAATTACATTAGTGTTACATATTTTGTCCATCTTTTTGTATGTTTTTTCCTACCAGGGTAACGTTGTGATGGATATGAAATTTGCAAGAATGCTCCTATTCCAAGGACAGGCATGCCATTGTTGTCCTTTTCTTTCAGGTACCGTGGTTTGGCATAAAATAATACCCTCCCACTAATATCTTTCAAATGAATTGCTTTTTTATTTTAATTTATTCAGCCAATGCAACGACTCGTTAAATTATGCTAATTTTTTCCTTTTATATGTTTATTATTGTTTGACAAATAGAAATTAGCACTCCTTGAAATACTTGATTCTTATTTTTAAAAATAATAATAATAATAATAATTACATTTAATTAGGTTTTTTAAAAATGATTCCTCACAAATGATATATATATATATATATATATATATATATATATATATATATATATATATATATATATATATATCATTATCGAAATTGAAAATTCTGATATCACTAAACAAGTTATTGGAATGAAATATGGATTCATTTATAATGTACGTAGACATTTAGACCGCATCGTGTTCTATATATATACAAAATCAACAAATTAAAATGGAAACTATTAATCACGAATATTAATTAAGGCAGAATATGAATGTGATGATACAGAAATTTTAAAATTTAAGATATGATACGTGAAGAAGAATGCATCAATTTTTTAAATATTGATATGTTTTATAAAAAATCTTTTACCAAAGATTTAAAATAAACATAACAAATCAATATAAGAAATAATATATATATATATATATATATATATATAATCAATTGAATGCCATAATTTATGAAGTTATAAGAGAAAAAGATAAACATTATATTGTTTAAATTTTCTTAACAATTAAACAAATTTGGATATCTAAAATCAAATTATCTCATGATAGTTATGAAAGGATTGTGATAATGTTTTTTTTTTTTTTTTTTTTTTTTTTTTTTTTTTTTTTGGTTCTCTTTCAAATTTACTTGTTGGTACATTTATCCCTCTTACTTTTTTTTTTAATTTATCATAAAATTAGATGATTATTTAAATTATAAATAATAATGTCATAATTGTTGTAATGAAAATTACAAAAAAATATAATACATTTATTTCATTTTTATTTAAAGTATTTATCATATAAAAATATGGTCATTTTTCATTAAATTTTTTATTTAAATTATTAAAACATTAATTGAGAAAGTATAGAAATAAAACTCTTCATTAAAAAAAGAATTATAATATATTTCTCATATAAAAATTATGATTATTCATCATAATTGTTTTAACGTACATATTGAAATAAATAAATAATTAAAAAAGTATTGAGGTTCAATTTAGTTAAACGTTGAAGTACTTAATTAACTCGTAAAAAACTTAAAACTGCATCTGTAGCAAGTACTTTTTTAAGAAAATCAACCTTAAGAAATATTTTGACCATGTCCCTCACATATTCTAAACAACAAGGATTTGATATTTTAACAATTTATCATCTTTTTTATAATTTTTTAGTTGATTCCATGTCGCTTCAAAATTTATCATGATTTTTTAACAAGTATAAGAAAAATTTAGAATTACATTGGTGCGAATAAAAAATTAAAAAAAATAAAAACCATCAAGTAGAGAATAAGGAATCTTTTAATACATAGTTATGAATTCAATGATTAATATTAAGCATCCTTGTCAATTCTTCCATTCTTTTTAATTGTTGAGTTTTTAATTACATTTTTAAGTGATATAAATAATTAAGTGCATATTTCTTGTTTGAAAATCTCGAACTACCACATCCCAGAACTTGCACACTGGTCCCTTCAAGCATTCAGATGCAAGTCTCCTATATATAGATAGCATTTTGAGATTCAAAATAGGTTATGCTTCCTTTAATAAACAACTTCGCATTACTGACAAGTGAGGATTTATGTTTTTGTTTTTTTTTTTTTTGAACGGTCATTTTTATCAATAAAATGATACTTTATTGTAAAATAAATATAGACTTATAAATCATATTTAGAATTCGATATTTATAGTCAAAACTTGTTATAATTTATCATTAGAATATTCAAAATTATGTATTGAAAAATATCTCTTAATTATGATAAAAAAATTAAATTCGAAATATGTAAATATTGAGCTAAATATATTTTTATTAAAATAATAATAATAATAACAATCACTTTTAACAATTGTAATAACCCAAAATTTTCTTTTTTATTTTTTTATTCATTTTTTATTTATATTTTATATTTATATTTTTGTTTTTTTTTTAATTTGAAGTTTATTAAGGAAAAAGAAAAAAGAAGAGGAAAGGTAAATGATGAAAAACACAAAAATTTCCATTTAGGGACAAAATTGAAGTAATTAGGGGTGTAATTGAACCAATTGAAAGATTTAGAACCTAAATTGCTTTTACAGGGACCTAATTGATAAGATTGTGTTGAAATTTTGCCACAAAGGGTGTGATCGTGGAAACTTAAAAAGAATAGGGACCACGTTGAACTTTTGGAGCAAACGATAGGATCTGGAGTGAGAAGGACGACTCGTCGTCCGCTCCAACTCTAATTTCCACCCGAAAATCTTTGAAGAAATCTGCCAAATCGTCCACAAATTTCTTGTTTTGATTCTACATTTATCATTGAATTAATTTTGGACGAGAGAATCAAGCAATCATTAATTCCTTTCCTTGTGGATTAGCAAGTCAAATCAAATTTGAGATTTTTGACGAGAAAATTTTGAGGGATTTTGTATTTAATTCTAGGAGAAAATCAAGCAAGCTTTTGGCTATAAAAACGAGTTTGATTTCAAGAAAAAGGGGGAGAAAGAGGATTTTGGGGGAGTAATTCTAGGTAGAGAGGTTTCGAAAATCAAAAGCAAAAGGTTTAATTTTTAGTTTTTGATAACTACATTTTTCCGGGTTTTCCGGGTTTCGGTTCATCATCGGTCGATCCTTTTTAGTTCCTTTTTTTTGTTAAATCTCTACTCGTCATAGTTTTTTTCATCTCCCCGTTGGAAATTCAAAGCGCAATTCTTACATTCTTGAGTCTTGTTCTTCATGTTTCGGGCGAGTTGGGTTTCTAGGTTTCTGCGTTCTTCATTTTTTTAGGTTTGTCCTCAAACTCCAGATTTGGTCCATGATTTTCTTTCTTTATTTTCCATTAGAGATTTACGGGTAGAGGCTTTCGGTTCATCCGCAAATCCCCATGATCCCTCTTCACCAAATCAAGTGCGAGGCGATCAATCTTACCTGCGAAATCAACAACAATCATCAACCTAAGCACGCAAGGTTTGTTCCCTTTTTTTTTTTCTTGATTGGGTAATTCGGAATTCCGATTGTTTGTTTGATTACTTGTTGAGTTTAATCCCTCGGTTTGTGATCAAGGCGAAGGGTGTGACATGCGTTGGTAATCATTCGTCCAAAATAGTACGTTAAATTTCCGAGGAAATCTGAAAAATAGAGAAATAACTTGAAGAACGAATTAAGAACAAGAGAGAGAAAGTGTTGGGAGGCCATTTGATCCATATGCATTTGATTTTTCTTACTCGGGCTTGTTTCGGGCTTAAGCGCAAGCAATTAAAAAAAAAAAGAGAAAACGCTTTGGGCTGGACTTATTTCAGTCTAGCTCGTGTCTCCCACCCAAAAAGAAAAGAAAAGAAAAGGGGTCAGGTGATCGACCTACTCGCACCCTTTCTCCCAAAAATAAAAAGGAGGCCCAACCCGTGACCTCACATTCAAAAATAAAAAATAAAAATAAAACAAAAAATAGAATTAAGGAATAAAAAAAAAAAAGGAAAAAGGGGGATGGGTAAAAAAAAAAGAGTAAAAGTTGTAGGTTAATATTTTAGGTATAAAATTTTTTTCTTTTTACTTCTATTGTCGGTTATTTTTTTACCCGCTTACATAGGATGCTTTTTTTATTATTTTGTATTTTATTTTTATTATTTTTATTTAATCTTTAGCCTATCTATTTTACTTCTTGTAGTTTTTTTTCTTTATTAATTTAGAACTTTTATTTCAGCTTTTTGATATGTATTGCTAGAAAATTATATATATTTTGATGAAGTCTCCTATCCGATAGGGACTAACGTCGCAAAAAAAAATGCCCAAAAAAATTGGCAAAGTCTCTTATCCGATAAAGACCGACGCCACACGAAAGAAAAAAAATCATCTTTTAATCAAGACGTCTTCCGACACGCCGGTTGTGTCGAGGCTTTTAGTGAATCCGATATTTGAATCGACGTGTCACCCAACGAAGAGGACCGACGATCGTTTCAATATAATGTCACGCACAAAACTAAAAAAAAATTATTTAGTCTAAAAAATAGGAGTTTTAAAAATTAGAAAATATCTTGACATAGATTTTTAGGAGATAATTTAAGACTAAACCGTACATACGTACCTTTTTTCGAAAAGGACGCTTTTAGGTGATTAAAGATCTTCCTAAAAGCGTAACCAACTCCTTACATTAAGAATCTTTGAACCAAGTGCTACTTTTAGGTTCCTAATTCAGTGAAATACTAAATGACGACTCCAAAACTCTATAAATAATTTTGTATATAATTAACCCTCGAATATTTAATTATCTTCGAGGAGTTTCGTCCCACGTGGGGTGGCGACGACAACAAAAGCTTCCCTCACCATCTTTGCTTTACTCGTGGCTGCGTGAGACTGAGACTGGTGCACAAATACACAAATATATAATATAAGCAGTTGCTTGGGTGGTCTGGTCCAAAAATCAATAATGTGTCAATCACAGTGACGTTGCGCCGGCTTACAGTCGCGGCGCGTGTGTGTGTCTGCGCCTATGATTTTAACGGCAATGCTGTTTGTCGTGGCCGGTGGCCATAGGCCCATAGTCTACATATATATAAATATATATATATATGCATGTGTGTATATATTTGTGGTTGTAAGTGACATCACATAATCATTCTAAGATCCAAGAATGTACGGACTTTGCAACTAATTGTGATTTAATATATACTCTTTTCTTCTCCTTCTCCTTCTCCTAATTGAAGGGCAATGCTTCAGTACTAGACTATTTAACTAAATTAATCCAATGCGTAATGGCACTTGCAATGTTCTTAATTAGAAATCTAATGGTGTTGTGCCCACAACAATTAAACATAGTGTCCCTAACGGCATGCCAAGTCATTTGAATTTTTGGCTGATCCAAGCAAAAAGAGCAGATTAGTAACCTCCTAATTAATAAATTTTACTCCAACATATTGAATTCAAATCAGTAAATATATACTAGTTTTTAAATAAAACTGGGTACATGCGTACATATGCTCCTAAATTGTTGTTGTAATCTGAAATAATAATAATAATAATAATAATAATAATAATCTGTATATATCAAAAAGAAGCCATCCAACTACGTACTGCATGCTTCTTCTTCTTCCTAATTCTACATACCCGGTAATGCCAAATAGATCCTTAAGTTCATAACAAGGAAAGAATTACTTCAAGAAAAGGTGCGTGCATGATCTCCTTGAATAAGAAGAGGTACCCCGCTGGCAATGATTCTCTAATTACCAAACTATGCCTGTTAACGGCTAATTCTAGGACAAACACAACGTGAGCATGGGAAATTACTGCATGTCTGATCTATTCGTGCATTTTCCATATTTTATTTAGAGTAAGTTAAGTACTTTTAAGTTTGCTAGCCAAGCCACTCGCCCTCAAGAATCTCTCATCTTCAAGCATACGTAATAAAGAATGTCTAGAGATTTGGAACTTTGAATTGGTCTCAGTATCCACAGTTCCTAGACTGCAATTTGTGCAATAGAGAGGGGACCGAGGAGAAAGATTCTAGGCTCTAAGTTTCCCATTAATCAACGCACATTAATTAGTAGTTGATTACCTTTATTGCATTCACGACAAACTACTTAGTGTATCTGGAACGTGCAATAGGAGCCTATACATGTATATATATATATATGCTATTTGCTCTTTCCTATTTGTCCATTGAGTTTGTTTCTTAAATACTATCCTCAAGTGCAATATGACTAGATTATTTGATTTATCACTTCTTCTTCTTTTTTCATGCTTTTTTTAGAAGATTGGGTAACCCTAATCGATCAAAAGAGAGTATAAGGTAAGCCAAATTTTAACCCATATAACTAATAAACTTATCCTATCAATAAAGATGTAATTTAAAAAGTTAAATCTTTTACAATGCCCCTGTAGTTTTAGAGAGGATCCAATCTGAACATGGACCGTTTCATTGCTGCTAAAGGGCCCGATTTTTTTTTTTTTACAATCTTCCTGTTTTTTCTTGTCTTTTCCTCCCAAGCTCCTATACATGGGATAATATTCGAGAAAGGTTCTCAAAAATACAAAAAGTACTAGTTGCCTTGGCTTTCATGATGTATTTTACCTCCGAGGGAAATATTATTTATTAAAAAAGAGTGAGAGAGAGAGAGGAAATTTTAAAATATAACGGTCGAAAAGGAATATCAGTAACTACAGGGCTAAAATATGGTCTATCCTGAACCACGATAGCTTATTCATTTTTCTCGTGCAATTTGGTAGTGGGCCTCGTTGGAGGTTAATGTGAACCACATTCATATAAAATCTAAAACTCCTATGGAGTAAGAATAAATACGACCAATGTGTTCCTCGTTTGTCTTAATGATGTTCCCTCCCTTGCAAGAGTAGGAAGCAGGACAAGAAGGGAACAAAGTTCCAATAAAAGCGTGATAATTAGCTAATTATTACTTTAGTACAATTGTTTGCAAACCATAAAAATCAACCTCAATGAAAAGCCCTTTTCCTTTACCGATTTCACACTCCAGAATTAAGCCTATACTTCCAGCTTCTTCCAATTACTCAGTGAAAGAACCTCCATGGGCATGATCCCATCACCAATAATTACGCACTTTTGGAGACAGCATGATATCATCCCAGGGACAGCGTGGCCGCAATCTCCCTTCTACAGTATGATTATTCACTATGGTGAGATTTTGCTTTAAGGATAGATGAAATTAAACACATCACAAGCATGTATTCTTTCTTCTTCTTTTTTTTATTTTTTGGCTTTTCTTTTACATGGGCCTGTACTAAGTGGTCAATCCCAGAAACTAGATGACGCAGTTAACAGTGTTTCTATCATCTCCAATAATTTGCTTCATCAGACGCTCAGTGAAACATTACTCCTTTTTTATGCATTCGGAATTGAAATACATTCTGTTGCTTAACAATGAGAAGTGATTCACCTCTGAAAAGAAATAAACCATTCTTGATGTCACAATTATGGCAAATCATCAACGACATTGGTTACTCTAAGCCACCATCCTTATATAACTGAAAAGGAGCCATGGTTATTACAGACTAATAGACTATCAAATCATTACTGGTGCTTACAATGAGCAACACCATTGTTAAGAAAAACCACATCCTTTTCTTTAAAAGTCAACTAGCCAAGTCAAGAATATCAATTCAACTCCGTAGTGAGCAATTGAACTAATGTTAATCGTGCTTAACAACTGTTCATGCTTTCATATAGCAGCGGCCTACAAATGATCTTATGCACGGTTGTGCAATATGCAGAATCTTCTTATAGAATTCTAAAAGGAGTTACCTTCTCACCAAATAATTCAAACCTTCCCAAGTAAAACCAGTATGGGAGGCGGATGAAGTTGTATAAAAAGTTCTCGTGAGTGATAAAGACCATTCAGCTGAGTAACTCCATGTTGGTGGTTCATGGAAAGCGGAGGAGTTTGTTCACAGCTGAGTCCAGCACATCGACGTTTCTCCTCAGGATTTTTCTTATCAAGCATTAAGAAACCCAAGAATACAAAGATGGCAAGAACCAAGTGAAATTTAGAGATTTAATGCACTACAAGAAATTTTTTTTATCATAGAATGAGTTGCTTTCCTGACCGTAAAGGTTCATATAGAGCCCCGGTGGGTCCCAAAGAATAAGGAACAGCCTAGCATTTGGTTACCTCCCTGCTAGAAGGAAGAACCGAGTAAGTAAGATGAGCCTACTGGTCCATCACAACCACCTTAAATGAGTAAGTGGGGGTAAGTGACATGTAAACAAGTATGCTAAGAAAACAAACACAAAGGATACAGTTGAGTGGCTAGAGTGTCAATGTCCTTCATTTCCTCATTCAATCTGCAGCATAATTCCAGAAGTGGGTTAGGACAAGCATATTCGACATACCTTCATATATTGGCAAATAAAGGTTGTAAACAGGTTTTGAAGACTCCTAGTTGGATTGCTTGAGTAGTAAGGCAACAAAAGGAACTACCTCCAGTCAAGTTAGAGCATCAGCACTCTAACCAGTTACATCCAGAAGGCATGAAAACTATTTATCACTGTTTTTAATGTCTGTTTTATACTCAGAAGAGGGTGGCAGAACAATGCGGTAACAGATGGTTCTGGCAAACAAAAGTTTCATCGAAATTGTAGGTTCAGTTCTCGAAGCATCGGTAGTGAAATACTTGTGCAGATATATAAAGCTGCAAAACTTTAGATTCTATTTCCATAATAACAATGACACAATCCCAGGAGCAATTGAAGGGAACAACAAGGTGGTGAAAAATCAAGCAGAATAATATCAGTCAGATTCAGGTTAAATAAGAAATTCAAATATGAAGAAGGATATCTCTTTCAAAACAAGAATAGAACAATTCTGTTAGAGATCCCAAACATACTCTAAACCTCTAATATCCATCACTACACCCTATATGAGATCTTTGAATCTCCCAATTCTACTAACACCAGCTACAACCATGATGCACTCAAAAAATCCTTCACATATGCGGATCACCCAACACTTTCTTCATTAAATCCTTACAAGTAAGAAAGAAAAACAACCATCGGTAATGTTTTTTTTCCGTGCTTGTCATTTTGAACACCATGTAGAAATATGCTTTGCAGAACTAGAAAAACTATCTGCAAATTAAAAAAGAAACATGAATGCTTGCCATTTACGTACAACTGCAGGCTGTACCAATCCTTAACTTTTATTACTCTAACCCTTCCCCCTTTCCCTTTCTTAATCACCATCAGAGCAAAATTTAATCGACTATTAATATTTCTCCGCGACCTTTTTCTTTTTCTTCATCAAACCTTTCAAAATTAGGAATTACTAATAATTTAATTATACCTAAGACACGAATTTATCAACCGATTCCCCTTCGTTGCTGCATCAAGCACTGCAGGACACAATTATAAAAAATTATATACATATTCAAAATTAATAACAACAATAATCAAATTCTTAAAAATAAAGATCTGATTATTTTTTTACCAGATTCTTGAAGACGACCAGCAGCATCACCAAAACATTGCATGTGATCAACTGATGTACTAGTTGCCTACGAAAAAAAAATAAAAATGAAATAATTCACTTCTTTTCTCTTTCTCAGGAAGTTATAAGAAGAGTCAAAGCTTACCTCAGAGAGAGCAAAACGAAGTGAAGCGAAAAGAGAAGTGAAGCTATCGGCGATGGCTAGAGAGTCTCTCTCGACGATTTCTAGTGCCTTGAAGATCTCGCCCTGGTTCAAATTGAGTTTCGGTTCAGTGCGGTCGGGTTCATCGGGACACGTGGACGGTCGATCAAGGCCTGGTTGTATGATTAATGATTCCGTATCCGTTGATTGATCTCTCTGAGTTGCTGCTGCTGCCGCTGCGGTTTCTTCCATTTCCCGCGATTAAAAAGGAAAACTGATAGATTTGCATTTCGGTATTTTTAATTATTTATTCAATCTAGAGCTGGGGACTTGGAGACTTGAGTGATCTTTCCACTTATCTCGATTCATTTTCGATTGGGCTTTGTGCAAATTGCATAAAGTTTTGGGTTTCTGATGGTTTAATCTTAGACGCTTATTGAATGAGCCCAAACCCAAGCCCAAATGGAAATAGTAGGAGTGATAATAATAGGGAAAGTTAAAGCTAATTCTCCATGATAAGAATAAAGAATACTTCCCTCCCTGTCTTATCTACAAGGATCCGCCAATGAATGTATGGTACTCCAATGATGAGGGATGATAGTAGCATACAAAATCAAGTTAATTTTCTTCTCATTAAAAAAATTTAAATATTAAGAATTTTTTATTTTGTTGTTCTTTCATAAAACAAGTTAATTTTCTAAGTCAATGGAAAAAATAATTGTTCATTTTCATGATTTTTTTAAGTTAAGAATCAAGTGAAACATTCTTTCTTTAAAAATAAAAAATAAAAATATAGGAGTATATGCCAATCCTAACCATGCCTTCATGTGAATAGTAAATGAAAATGATATTTATCTTAAAGCTATCAAAATTACTTTTCATGCTAGGATTTGGGATGACAATTTGTCCCGTCTCAACAGAGCTCCGTTCCTTTCCACCTCGATCAATGCGGGGATTCCTCGAGTTGATTGGGGAACGGGACAAGGCGCCTCGCCCCACATTGATTTTGAATGGGGATGGAGCGAGGATGGTATTTTTTCGCCTCGCCTTTCCTTGTCATTTTTTAAAAAAATTATAATTATACCGAACATATATATAAACTTTAGGGCTACAAACTAATCTCCAATATAATAAGTGAGTTTTGATAATCTCTAAGCAATAAAGACATGCAAGAATTAATATTTTTTAATTACATTTGTGATACTTCATCAACTTAATTATGTATATTATTTATTCGATTGAAAATAATTTAATATATTATGAGTTGTGTTGTAAAATTATAGTTGAATATCATGTTAAATTATTGTCTTTCTCAATTATATTTTTTATATCGACTATTATCTTTTTGCTATAGTTTAAAATTTGATACAAGATAATATGAGGTAGAATGGAGCGAGATGGATGTAAAAAATTAAGCAAAACACCGAGTGCTCCATAGGGATTCTGGGATCCCCATCCCTTGCCCGACGTGGGGCATGGGGCGGGGACAGGATGAAGATTTTCGGGGGCGGGGAGAGGATGGCTCGTTGCCATTCCTAGCTAGGATGAAGGAAGTTTCCTACTTCTCCAACTATTCCAATCATGAGCAAAATTCCTCATTTCGAGTCTTAATATTAACTAGTTTATTATTGATGTTATGCTCGCAAGTTGAGTATAATTGACAAAAACATTCAAAAAACAAAAATGCCATTGATTTATTGACCAAAATAATACAACACATTTAAACATGTCTAACATATGTAAATGTAATTACATACAAAGAAAATTATTTATTAAAGTTATGTTGTCATTTTGCACAACATAGATATATGATAAAAAACAACCGAATGTTTTGCAATGTCGTAAAGATCTTTTAGTTGTTGAGAATTATTTTCCTCGAATCACTATGCATACTTATGGCGTGTCGTACCATCAATAAATTAAATGATTTATATTTTGTCCTTAGAGAGCTTTTAATCACGATTATGTAATCAAGGCAAGTAAGGATCTATCCATAGGGAAAGAGGCTCAATTGATCGTTTCTTTTGTTTGAGTGTTCTCGTAGTGTAAAGGCGAGGGTTTTATGTTTGGAATGCTTGGAAACAAGTGAAAGTAATAAGAAATAACAATATTAAAGACACCTTGGTTGAAGTACGGTATCCACTTTTAGTTTGGTCATCGATCATTGATTAAATAATTAACATATCCTAAACATGAATATTCACCATAAGACAACAACATATATGTTGTCTCCAATCTTTCCTTACTTAGTCATTAACCGAATATACGATACCCGATTAATTCTCTAGCTACTCGAACAATTTACTAAGCACTAGATAGATTTAATCCAATAACAATATTAATCGAGAAAGATCGGTGAAGTTAAGCCACTTTCATAAGCGCTAGAGAAAAAGTAACCTTGTTTTATGTTTTTCAATAGATTGAACGAAAACATGAAAAACAAACGTCAACCCCTAGTTACTACCACATGCAAGTTTAGATAAGCAATTATACGGATTTGAATACTTAGCTAGCAATAAGTTAATATGATTAAACAATTAGCATGCACTCTAATTAATTTAATCATACAACTATAAACTACTCATGTAAAAAAATATAAAATATCTAAATAAGATAAGTTTAGAAATAAAAATCATAATCTTATAGCGATTAACCAAAAGCTTCAACTTGATTCAACTAAGAATAGAGCTTGGTTGCTTATAATGGATTACAAAGATTCACTCTACCGAACTTTGGTGGGTTCCATTGCCACCCCAATTTTGATGTATATGCCGACAATTTGAATGCGTGCGTTCGAGAAAATTAAATAACATAAAATTTACTAATATTAATACTAATATATAAATGGAAAATTATTTTGATCTTCCGTTGAAAAGAATATTATACATTTCTTGTTTTTTTTCTCCTTCTTATTCTTGGGTTTTTAGTATCCTTGTTTCCTCACTTACAACATGTTCATGCTCGATCAAAAGTAACAACCCTAAGGATACTTCATAAAAATGTAGAGAGAGAGAGAGAGAGTAATGCGTCAAAACAAATAAAATTGATTTAGAAAGTAAATTAGTTATAATTTTTGTAGAATGCTTTTTGTTAAATCGTCATAAGAATAAAGAGCAACACTTCGAAAACTAGTAACATTTCCTTCTTCTTCTTTTTAATTAATTATGTCACTTTAAGTGTGAAGTGGTTAATGAATGCATGTAGAGATTAATGAATACATGTAATATATAATGTGATGGATCATTGTATGTAATATAGCAAGAATGACTAAAAGAAAGCAAGCACTCGAGTGGTTTTAGCTAGTTGGAAAATTTCTTATACAACGTTAATTTTATATAATTATGGTAATGAATATAAAATATTTATACTTGGTTTTTCTTGCGCCAAACTCTCAAAGATATGGAAGATCTAGATTACACCTATCACAATACTATGGCATTAATCAAACAAAACATTATTAAACCATATAATTTATATAGAAGATTTGAGTTGATTCCTACCAATTTATCAATTATAATTATCTAATGGAGGGAAAGTTATTCTTATTATATAGTTTAGCATCTCTTAAACCTTTACTCGATATAATAATTGAGAGCATTTAATATTTTCTTTTTCCTAGAGTTATTGTTCACTTTTACTTTTTATATAGATTAGAATAAAATCTATGCTCGCAATTACTCTAGAGTCTAAAACCTATACTCCGACATAAATCATGTCATGATCGATGCAAGAATTGAGATAACTTCACGCCCAACCCAAATTAAGCAAGCCTCGAATATCTAAATCATAGTTATCATATCCATGATAAATTTAAAAAAAAATCATTTTCAATTCATAATATCACAACTTAATAGTCAATAATTTATAACTCCAACACAAACTATAATTCATAGTATTCTTACATTTTCCAAAATAATATCCATAATCAATATTCTAACATAACTCTCATTCAATTCACAATATTATAACTTAGTTAGTCGATATTTTTTTAATTCCAACTCAAACTATAATTCCGTAATACCTAATTAGTCAATATCACATCCAAATTTATAATGTCACATCTAATTTACAATAATTATACATATCTAACATAACAATTAACAAACTAAAATAACTCTTACAAATATAATCGTGGAGCTTCTAAAGTTGACAACAATCTTAAAATATAGTTCAAAATATTACAATTAAACGAGACGAACAATCAATTTGTTGATTTTAAGACAACTCGTTTTAAAGGGGTCAATAAAAAATCTCACAAACCTTATAAAATTAAAATAGTGGAACATGAGAAAAACAACTCAATAAGTAGATAAAATATAATATAACTAAGAGAGGAAAACAAACCAAGAAATAACTATTTAAAAATTGTTCAAGATGTAGTGCATATTTTTCAAAATCAAATACATATTTTAAATATCAAATCATATTTCATATTCATAAATCATTCAAAATTATAATCAAAATATTTATTATCAAATCAAATCAAGTATCCAAAATCTACACATGGGTTGATCAAATCATATTATATAGCTAGATGTGAACATCCAAAGACTACGCCCCCGCAACTAGGTATACCATACGTGTGGTGCCCCTAGCTCCCTTGCCGATTACCTAAAAGGCATAACCGGGTGCACCTCGGTTTAGAGACCGAAGTCTCAAATTTAATCCCATACACATACACAAGGTATTAGATATCATTACAAAAGTTACAAAACATAATTTACAATAAAAAATAAATCCTATAATTTTTGCGTCACATATGAACCTTTTTCCGGGAGGAACCAGGTAGCTTCACTTTTAACATTATTATTGCCTCTACCTGTCATGGCATGAAATAAACACAGAGTGAGCCGAAGGTCGGTAAGTAGGGTGATGCACGTGATATGTAATAATTTTCCGACTTCGCCACCTTGACTCATCAAATTTTAATTTCGGATACCTTGGGTATTAACGAGTCCGCTCTATTTTTAATCTAAGAGATGATCGATTCACCTTCCGCTAACAATGGAATTATCCTTCATTGTAGCCACTATTAATGGGAGTCTATCGTCTAACGAGTGCGGACATATAACTTAGAGTAGTCTACTCTATTTTTTATCCAAGTGATGATCGATTCACCTTCTCGCTAATAATAAAATTATCCCTTGTTGTAGCCATCGTTAGTGGGAATCCATCGTCTAACAATGCGAGCACACAGCTAGAGTGTTAATACCCTTTTTATCCAAGTAGGTTACCAAACTTATCCGATTTTC